AAAAAAAAAAAAAGGAGGTGGACCTCCTAAACTAGACTACATTTTATGTTTTGTTTTTCTTTTCCTAGGAGATCACTCTTCAGCAAGTAATGTCACAAATTGCTAATGTGAAAAAGGATATGATTATTTTGGAGAAGAGTGAATTTTCAGCCCTTAGAGCAGAAAATGAGGTAAAACTACAGTGCCACTCACACTTATAAAATTCGTTAAGACATTGAGATGTAATATACATACACAAAAGGGTACAAGTAAGCGTACAGCCAGGTGAATATTCACAGTGTGCACACGCCAGTCAGATCAAGAAGCAGAATGTCACCAGTGTCCCGGAAGTCCTGCTTTTGCCCCTTCCGGGCACTCCTCCCACAGAGGGGATCGCCCTCCTGGCCAGTTTCACCATTGACGAGTTTTGCCTACCCTAGCACTTCATTTGGGGGAGTCAACAGTGTGTCTTGTAGCAGTAGGTCATTTTTTCATTATTTGTGTATTATATGAATATGCCGTATCACTCTATTGTGATGCATATTAGAATTGTTTCCAGTTTGGGGTTATTGTGGAGATGTGCTGCTGAATATCCCTTTTGTTTCCTTAGGTATGGCGTATGGGATCAGCGTTTAAATAAGTGCTGTCTACGCATCTTCCTTTTATTTTCAGTCCTATGTAAAGGCCATTTATTGCCAGTTGATCTTAGCCTCATAAGAAACCTTACAGCAAAAAGATAAACTTTGAAACTCTCTAAGTTGTCCTTGAAATCAGCTATTTGAGGGCAGAATTAGTTAAAAGAAAAATTGAAGGAGGTGTTAAAGCAGGGTCACCGAAGGCAAATGTGCATGTTAAAAACAATTAATTGTGTTACTAATTTTACATAACCTTCAAGATAAATAAAACTAATTTCAGAACACACACACATGCATTGTAGTACTACTATTCAATTAATATTGTGTTCCAAATGTGGTCAAGTTCATGTTGAATGGGGGAAGAGCTTGTACATAAATACATGTTGTAATATTTATTAATTACCAAGTTTTATATTTTTCTTCTACCTTTCTAAACATATCTTTGACCTGTTTCTTTTTAATGTGTTTTTAGAAAATAAAACTTGAACTACATCAGTTAAAACAACAAGTAATGGTAAGATTCTCTTTCCTATTGGCGGGCTTATTTGTAATTATATAAATGTGTTAATGTAATGTCAGAAATATACTATATGTTCTAAAAAACTTAATTCTGTGTAAAATGTTTGTATAATATGCCTCCAAATTACACACGGGAAAATTTAGCTAAGAACAAAGCCAATGAATATATTACTAATGTCTGTAACCAAATTCATTAAGAAAATTGTGTTCTCGGAGGAATTATGTCGTTTTTAAATCAAAATTTTTCTAAAGTACCCACATGGAATCCTAGATTCTCTTAAAAGAGACCATCTTTAGAGAATTGCATGTGATTTTTAAATGACAGCCATGTCAGCTGTTTGATTTATTTTTTTTAAGTAGAAAGTACATTGACGTTCCAGAAGAAAAGATTTTAATTAGTATCAGAGAGAAGCCTTTATTTAAACCAAAAACTAATATTTTGCTTCTTTGAGTTCATCTTTGATTTCTGAAGTTGTCTAAGGAACAGCTTTATTTGTAAATTCCACAAGATTATGTGGGGAATATTGTGGTTAAAAACAACAATAACCCACTCTAGACTGGCTTAAGCATGGAAGGGGATTTTTTGCGTATGTAGCTGGGAAGCCCTAAGACGGAACAGCTTTATTTGTAAATTCCACAAGATTATGTGGGGAATATTGTGGTTAAAAACAACAGTAACCCACTCTAGACTGGCTTAAGCATGGAAGGGGATTTTTTGCGTATGTAGCTGGGAAGCCCTAAGACAGGGCTGACCTCAGACGCAACTTGGCCAGAGTCCCCTGAGATCATTAGGCCCTAGCCTTTTTCTCTGGCATCCTCTGGCTCTGCCCTTCCCTGGGCTGGCTCCCTCAGCTGGAGGCAGCCATGGCAGTGACGTCTCAGAAGGTTTGGATTTCTCACTTTGGATTTCTCTCTCTCTTTGTTGTTTGCCCTCCTACTAGGATGAAGTGACCAAAGTCCGAACAGACACCAAATTAGACTTCAATCTAGAAAAGAGCAGAGTAAAAGAATTGGTATGTTCCTTTATTAAAAATAGATTATGGATTAACTTCTTTTCAGGATAGAATGCTTGGTTAAATTTATATTTATATACAGGCCACAAGTACTGTTAAATATTTACCTGTTTATCTGTGTTAGACACAATTTTTTCTTTAATTACATTTTAGGTTAGGGCTTAAATTTGATGCTTTCAAAAGTAACCTTAAAATTAAAATCTTGGTTAAATTGAGTTTGAATCCTTTTTTGTTTCAGAGATACTAGATTATATGTTACATAGACATTAAATTCAATTCAATCTTGATCTATTTAATACTGACTTAAATCTCCACAGGCCCTAATTTTGCAAAAGTTGATTATCTCAGACCTGAATCATATTAAATTATTAATATTAAATAAAATTAAATTTAACACTGAAATTCAAGATTAAAAAAATATTCTATATTATCTTTTAAATACAATAAGAAGTTCTTTGTTTTAGTGAAGATATGTGTTGAGTTACCTCTAGTGATTTTTTAACTCTCAGGATATTTATCTGTCTTCTGGCTCAGACTTTATTCAGATTTGGTAAGGTTAGTTAGGTACCTTTTTTATTCTCAGCATAACAAGAAATAGGGCACATAGAGCACTTTTCACTAACACAAAACTGAATACACGTGCAGAAACTGAGTACTCACACTTGTGTCTTATCATTTTTTGTTATTTGCTTTTAATCAAAACGTGCTATGATAAATGAAGCTAATATTGAAATTCAAACACGTACTTAATTGTATTTTGGAACTGCCTCTGGATTTCAAGAGTTAAGTTGAGCTTCGTTATACAAAATAATTATATGCCCATTTTACCCATCTTTTTAGTCTTATAACACCTTTCAACCAGGAAGATTAAATCACCTAGTGTCACTAAGATATTTAATGACCACAAGCATATGACTAGTATCTAAAAGAAACTCTTTTGGTTACCTTTTTCCTTATGGGTTGTGTACTTAGGAAAAATTCTCAATTCACTTGGTGTGGGAAAGTGATTAACTGCGTATAGCTAACCAAGCTGGGAAGAAATACATCTAGAAGACTGGGAAATATAGGATGTGAATGTGGATTAAAGCCGGTGAATTTATGTGATTTACTAGCCAAGCTCAGAATTAGTTCTTGAGAATCCTAAACTTAGATTACTCTGAAGCACAGGGCAGTAGTATATTATGCTGCTACTGTGTACGTAGCACGCACTGATGAAGATGAGTTACTTGGCCCTCTCATTCTCTTGGTAAAGTTATAATACTAAATTAAAAATTAAATTAACCTTGGTGATATTTACAGCCAGTTTCAAAAGAAGTATGGCACATAAACTATTTTTGGGTATGGGTAGATGGATCCACATAGATGGTATTTTTAAAATTATGACAGTGTCTTAAATTAACCTTGGTGATATTTACAGCCAGTTTCAAAAGAAGTATGGCACATAAACTATTTCTGGGTATGGGTAGATGGATCCACATAGATGGTATTTTTAAAATTATGACAGTGTCAAGATTTAGGCTTTGCTTATCTCCTGCAGGTGAGTCAATGTTAAGTTAGTGAAGTGTGGACTTTAAAGGTGTGCAGAAAATCGGTTCCATACTGCCCTCTGGTGGTGGTCCAATGCATAGCACTCTCGTTTGAAACCCTGATGTTCATTGTTCTTTGGATTTATGACTAGTCCTTAATTTGGTTTTTTGTTTTGTTTTGTTTTTCTTTTTCTGTTTCTAAGCAATGCTGTTTTTATACTCAATCCCTCTAGTAGTCCCAGGGGAACATTTCGTAGCTAGAAATTTCTAGATAATTCAAAGCATTAACTTTTTCCCCTATAACAATGTTAATTTAGGTCTTAAAATTCTTCATTTATAGATTGTCATTTGCACAATTAAATCTTAATGCACAGTGCAAAGGAGATAGGTTTGATTTTGATCTTAATGTCAACAAAACTACACTAAGTCTTTTCACTGACATTAATAGCCAAAGGCAAGGTATTGTTTTTAATTCCTGTAGAACTAGTCAGTTCCTTTAGTAACACTGGATTGTGATTACATCCAAGTGGTTTTTTTATTTATTATTGTTAAAACCAACATGTGATGGATTAGTGTATTTCCTGTTGTGTCTTATCACAACACGATGTCTTTGTCCAGAATATTTCTTGCAGCTGTCTTCTCCCCAGCTTTATATCTTTCCTGTCTTTTGTCCAAGCCTCAAGTACTGACCTGTTTTGATTGTAGTTATGATGGGACAATTTCTAAATTGAATTGGTTCTTCACCATTTTCAACCCTCTCATAGCCAAAAAGCATATGACTCAGCATCCATCTAACTTGGTCCCAGGGAATTCTGTTTTAGTAGTGGGAGGGACCTAGAGACATCACAGAGAAGAAATGAAAAGAGAAAAACAGAGAGATAGGTGACAGATGACAAAAGGGAATCCAAGTATTGGAACAGTGAGTGAGTATAAATAAGAAACCTCAAATAACAGATACAAAGAAAGTGGCAGATAGCCTACTCTATCTTAGAGGTGATTTTCTGATATTACATGTTCTAGGAAGTACTGAGAACAGAATGTTTAAGACACCAGAAAAGGAAAAGGCACCAGAGAAGGAGAGAGAGGAGTAGATCAGGATCTGACTCATGTTACATGTTTGTTTCAGTATTCATTGAATGAAAGGAAGCTGCTGGAATTGAGGACAGAAATAGTGGCACTGGTAAGAAATCAGACTTTGACTTTTCTTTGTCATTTATTCATCTTTGCTTCATCCTGTATGTGGTTTCTGTTGTTTGTGATGATGTATTATAGGAAGATATACGCAGGTTTATTGTCCTTTGTTGCAAATGACAGGATTTTCTTTGTTTTTAAAGGCTGAATAGTATTCCATTGTATGTATATACCACATTTTGTTTATTCATCTGTCAGTGGACACTTGGGTTTCTTCCACCTTTTGGCTGTTGTCAATAATGCTGCAGTAAACATGGGTTTGCAGGTATCTGATGGAGCCCCTGCTTTCAGTTCTTTTGGGTATATACTCAAAAGTGGGGTGTCACAGGATTTTTTGCACTTAAGAAAATACTTAATTACCTTAATGAAAATTTAAATCTCAGTGAATGGAGAACAGTAAGGAATGTTTAATTTATGGCATGAGGGTACTCCTTTTACATACTGTACTACCTGGGATCTCTGAAACCTATAAGAGGCTTCCATGAGAGAATTCTGGAATGCCAGAATATCCCTCTGGAATATTTTTCTACTCATCCAGGCATTTATTTCCTTATTCTTTGTCTGAATTGATAACCAAAGGGAACTACTTACTGTAGGATTTTCAGTGAAGCATTCCCAGTGTTTTTATGCATTAAAGCATTATACAGTCTCTTTATAACATCAGCCAAACTCACTGCCCTTTTAGAGTTAATTATGTATCTAGTTTAACTGTATTATATCTGGGAAAGGACACAAATTGGCCCTTGGTAGCCAAGACTCATATTAATGAAACACTTGGTGCGTGAATTGTGGAAGAAGAAAGCTTCTAAAAATGTGACTAGAAATAGTGGGAAGACAAGCACTGTTGCTTTTAGAGTATCTAAGGCTACATTCATTTCCTGGAAGCATTTTTGAGTCTACTGTGTAACTTCCACTAACGGCGTCTAGAAGGATGAGGCATATTCGTTGCTATTGAGAACAGCCTGGCTTCATAATGCCATGTCATTTGCGGAGCAATCTATAGTTTACAAAGGCTTTTTCACATAGATGATCACATTTGATTCTCTAAACAGCCTGTGTGAAGGCAGGGCCGATGCTGTTTCTTTCTTTGCTTTTTTCAGACAGAAGGGAACTGAGGCATAGAGAGGTTAAGGGTCCCGACTAATGCAGCATAGAATGAGGACGGTAGAACTGAGATACAGCCCACGTCTTCATGGTCTTACCCCTGGCTTCCCGGTGGCTGAGCACTGTCAGGAAGGAAGTCTAGGATGGGAGCACAGGGACGGAAACCGCAGTGGTCTAATGCTGTGAATCTCCTTGTTTTAAAAGCATGCCCAGCAAGATCGGGCCCTCACCCAGACAGACAGGAAGATAGAAACTGAGGTTGCTGGCCTCAAAACCATGCTCGAGTCGCACAAGCTTGATAATATTAAATATTTAGCAGGTAAGCTTTTTTATGTCTAAGTATGTAAAGCAAACTGAAAAGAAAATAAATCAAGTATATTAAAATAAGTCAGTGAAAGATATGCATTTCACTGGTTCTAATACTTTTTTTTTTCATATTTTGACATATCTGAAATTGGAGAGCATAGTTAACAATTTCCAGTGGATAGAATATCATACTTTAATTGGCATTTTTCTTTCTCAGTAGTGAATAAAATAATGGTGTACTGTACAACTGATGGAATCTTAAATTTGATAAGATACTATAATAAAACTAATTTGGGATTTTAGTGAAATTCAACACAGAATATTTTATTGATACAATGGAAAGTGTTTGAGCTGTGATCTTTCTACTTCAATTGGTGACACTCCTTTCAAGGAGTTATTTTGCTTTTGCAATTTTTGAGCCAAAAGAGGGAATGAAGATTCATGTACCAAAAAAAAAAAAAAATGCCATTATTTTAAGTTAATTTAACATTTTGAATTAATGAAGTATTTTAAAGTTACAGCAGTATTTAGCAGTGAAATTTTGCTCTTTATATTAAAGTATGTGTCCCTGCCTCATATATATCCATATGCTTTGTGATTCTAAACTTACTGAAAATTTTTTTTGAATATTGAATGCATTGTACTTTGAAGATGATGACTTAGGTGTGGGGTTTACTATTTTAGTAAGCAGACACTTCGTGGAATATGGCACATCAGCACTAAGTTTCTGGGTTTTCTTTTTTTATTTTCTTGGTGGATAGGTGAATGAGTTTCTGTGTTTTCTTAATAAAAAGATGTGTCCTCATGTAACTATTAATAGCACTAATTGTACTCTCCATTTTTTTTTTTTTTAAACAGGATCTATATTTACGTGCCTAACAGTAGCTCTGGGATTTTATCGCCTGTGGATGTAATAAAGTATCTATTTAAAGAGATTTTTATTGTTCTGCCTTGAGAATACCACATTGTTGTCCCTTTTTTTCTTGTTTTAAATTTTAACCCTGATATTGACTTAATGTATATTATTTATATTTCTGCAAATTATGGACACATAACCAGAGGAAAGAAGTCAGGAATTGCACAACCATTCCTTTCATTTCTGTTTAGTTGACTTTTTAACTGAGTGGTGTTGGACAACTCATTGAAGCCTCCGCTCAGTGGCAGCAGTGAACTTGTGCTAAACTGTGGTGCATACCAACAAAATATATTTGTATGATTCTCTACAATTTAAGTCTTTTGTCACATTGAAGATTTGGGGGTCTCCATGTAAAGGGCAGCCCAGTGGCTTTCATAAGTGCTGAACAATCATTGAAACTAAACCAAGAGCACCAGATCCTCTTTACGGAATGACCCAGTCCTTAACCTCAACTAGTCCCTGTGCCCAAGAGTTGTTTCACCTGTAGCTGGCTGGTAGGTTAATTATACAACGGTACTTCTGCGCGTAGAGGAAGGGTTTCTTGCCTTTGATTTCCGTGGCAGCTATTAGTAAGTATTGTTATGGTTATTTTTAATGTGCCTTCCAGCTACAAAATCTCGTTGCCTAATGAAGCATTGTAATTGTAATGGGGACTCTCCTTTATCTCTCCGAATGCTGCATTTCCCTTCCTCCCTCCCTGTCCTTTTCTCTCATGGTTTGAGAACTGTGGTAATCCTCCCCTCGTGCCATTACTTGCCTAGAAAACTTGGCTGTTTCTTAGCCTAGAACTCTACTTCTGTGTGTGGAACAGATTCTACTTCCTTCTGGGATTCATCTGTCTTTCACACAAGGGAGAGATTCAGCTTTCCTTCTGTAGGATATCTACATGTCTCTCACACACACTTTTCATAAATGAAACTTGTCATTAACGTCTACACCTTTGTCTATGACCAGCTCAGATTGTAGGCTTTCAGAATTAGAAGAGTGCTGTGCCAGGCATCATCCCAGCTTAGATTGATTTTTTTGTTTGTTTTTTTTTAAAAGACATTCTCATACCTACTTTATATTTAAAATAAATAAATCCTGATACAATGGAATTATTTTGAAGAAGCACATTCTCATCTTATTTAAATGCCTGGCACATGGGTAAGAAGAAACATTTTACAAACAATGAAATTGATAGAGCCTTTTCTTCCTCCACATATACACACACAATCTTGTACAGTGGAGAAACCAGATAAAGATTTCTTGATCAGATTGGTAGACTAAGTTACCCGTTGTCACTGTTCCAACCACAATGGTAAAAGTTATGTTTCACCCTTTGGATGTCATTTCTCAATTTTGGGAGGTATAAGTCGTTGCCTTTTTAGAAAAAATTTGTATGGTCCAAATATCTTGAGCACCATATAATATGAAAATCAAGTATTTTTGCATTTGTGACAGCAGTTTCAAAGTAAAATAAAATTTTAATCTTTTTCAAGTAGATCAAAAATTGTCTTAACTTTAATAATTATTTTATCGATACATTTTTCCCCTTTCAGAAAGAGACCCCAGAAAAGACTGCATGCACATTTAGCAATTGTTTTAAGTATTGAAGCCCTATGGAATGGCATCCCATTAAGACTACAATGTAACTGCTTAATATAGGTGTAACTTTAGTTGGTCAGAGGTTGTAGAAGGGCATGAAGCCTACATGCTCTTATCAAGTCACACCCCCAAAATATGGACCCCCCAGGAGAAAAAGTATCATATGCAATTATGTTCCAAACTAAACACTAACCTTGTACAGGTTAAAAAGAGTGAAGTGTCCTTATATCCTGATAAAATATTTTTTAAATAACGTGGTGGGGTGACATTCTTGCATCTGCTAAAAGTATTTTCACATGTCATTCCTCCTAGTGTTGGTGGACTGCATCATTCTGTCCCTTAATTTGGGTCTTTGCAGTACAGAAGAGCCTTTTTTTGGCCTTGGGAACAACGAACTCTCCTTTTGATGTGGGTTTCATGCATATTTGGAGGTTAGGAGGGTTCAGGTCTGTGTTCTCTTAATTAAATGTGTTCTACTTGAAAAGCATTTGAGGCAAAAATACAAGTGTATCCTTCCTACTGTTGGCTCAGACGTCCGTGGATGATAGTATGGGCATGCTATAGGACTAGACATTAGTGTTAAAACCTTCTGAGCCACCCTGGCTTATAAGGATTCAGATCACCTTAGGAAATTAGGCATTAACACTAGGAAGGGCGAAGTTGCCTGGCAAAACTTCTAGGCAGCAAACTGTGTCTAGCATATGGCGAAATTAACCATAGATAGATCCAGATACTAACCCCCTTGCAGGGGTGGAGGAAATGTTGTCAGATGCCTAAATCGGAACATCAAATGGACAGAACTTTTGTATTTCCTTTTCATGCACTAATCACTCTTCATTTTTAGGTGGTTTCTCTGCATTCCTACCTTCTTCCCTCCCCTCCCTTGTCCTTTGTCTTTTTTAAAGAGCCTGAGCTCCAATTTCCCTCCTTTCCTGCTCCATTAATAAGCAAAACCTGTTTGCGTGTACTGTTCTTTACTGGGAACACTAGTTTCGATCTCTGTATTGGTTTTATTCTCTCAGCTGGTTTTCTAGCTTAATATCTAGCAAAACTAAATCTGAATGTATTCATCTTTTCCCTTAAGTGTGCCAAGCTCCTCAGTTGGGAAGTCACAAGTTCAAGAACAAAGGCTTGACTCAAACCAGAAGTCTTGCTGGAATCTGTCTCTGAACACTTTAAAAGCAGCTCTCGAGCCACAGCAGACATGTCTCCATGTGCCTGGATCGTCTGTCTCAACTTTTACGCTCTTCTTCCCTTTGTGACTGTACTCAGTGACATAATCTTCTCTCCTATTTTCTAGTCTCCTTTCCAGCCTCTCTGCCTGTTGATTTACCATGTCAGCATTAGCAAACACTTCTCTTTCCCCACCCTAACATGCTATGTTCTAAGTTTATATAATTCTGGACAAATGGCAAATAGACTGTACTATAGAATTCATGTCTAGAAAACTTTTAACACAAGTTTATCGAATTTGCTGTGGCTTTTTTGGAACTAAAGCAAAAACATGTTAACCACAAGTAATTTCTTCTTTATGTATGTAAAGTGTTTGAGGATGTTTAGCTTTCATTGGAATTTTATTTGGAAAATATCTTTCTACAGATTTAAATTTATATTCCTGTGATTATAGCCCAAATTATTTCTTAACTCTTTTATTAAGCAAATATTCAGTTACATTTTATTATCTGATAAAGTGGGTGTAATATTTTTGTCAAATATTTTGTTCTGTGTGACTAATAAACTTCTGATCATTCAAGTTGAATATTGACAAACCAGAACAACTTCTGCCTATGCTACGTTTCAACTGTTAGTTCCATCCATTTGTATAACGATGGCCTTGGTGAATTAATTACAAGTAAATCTAATAACTGAATTTGGATTTACATAGAAAATAAATTTGAAAATGATTATTTTACTTATAAAGTAAGTTTTAATTATTCAAAAGAATTCTCTAGCATGATCGTGTAACATTTTAACATCTTGTTTGAGGGGAAATAATGAGGCTTATACAAAAGTTCTGGTTACACTGTAGTCCCTACACATCTCTAGTTCCCCATTTCACATTGGTGGTGTGTGAACAAACTAAAAACCTTTTCTTTGTCTTAAATCTTTGATTTCTTTAAAAATAAGAAAATTGTTTTAAAGAAAGGCATTTTCTAGAAACAGCTTTCTTTCTCCCTTGAATCTAAACCTCTGGTACAACATAGCAGAGCTGATTCACCATTCCACATGCTGCCAATCATGTATCCATGTTAATTCTGCACTTTCCACAGGAGGCTGTTGCCATGGAGCCAAGGGATAGTGGACTGGGATGGTGGATGGGGGCTGTAGGGACCACTGTCTACCACAAGGGTCAAAGCCTTAAGTTAAATAGAGATCAATGAGATTTGGGTCTTCTTTTACATATCAAATATGCAGATAACTTTTCAGGCCAACACTTTTGGGAATGAGTAGTTGAAATGTATAGGCATTTTGTAAGGTCTTAACTTTTTCTTTCAGTTTAATTTTTTTTTTTTGCATTTACTCTATGTTTCTGTAAACCCTAATCAGTTGATCGTGATTCTGAAGCTTCTTAGCTTAATATTTAATTCCAGGAAGCTGCACTTGTAGTTCCAACGTAGCATGTCATTTCCACAGTTAATGTCTTTCAACAAAAGTTTTTAAAATACTTTCCTACTCAGCCACGGCAGGCTCCACATGACTCATTCTCCTGGGAGAAAAACACAGCTGCTAAATGGCATCCTGTCGCATACAGCCCCGAAGTCAGTGTCTTTTCCTAACACAGAAGGACTTTTACATTTATTTTATAGTATTTTATGGTTTGCATGAACGTCACGGCATTCTGAGGGGCAGTATAATAGGTGATGTCTCTCTCCAACCTCAAGAATTGCTTTCTGGGCCGGCCCGGTGGTGCACTCGGTAGAGTGTGGTGCTTGGGAGCGCGGCGGTGCTCCCGCCGAGGGTTCAGATCCCATATAGAGACCGGTCCGCTCACTGGTTGAGCACGGTGCGGGCACGACACTGTGGGTTGCGATCCCATTGCTGGTCGCAGTACGGGCGTGACACTGAGGGTTGCGATCCCGTTACCGGTCACGAAAAAAGACAAAAAGGAAAAAAAAAATTGCTTTCTGTAAAAACGTCAGCACTTAAGATTGTGTGAGGAAAGGGAAGCCCAGAGGATCAAGATATTGAATATGAATATCTTTGTTTTTACATTTGTGCCAGTTAGTTGGATGCTCTCAACTGCAGGTAATGTAAAATGAACAGTGACTTACACCTAATGGCTTTTATTACTTCATTCTAGATGTAGGCCATCCTCAGGGCTGGACTGGCAGCTGGACGGTGCCGTTGAGGAGTGGAGCTCTCTTTCCATCACTCCGTTCTCTCTGTGTTAGCTTTCACCTTCAGGCTGGGATTATCTGATCACAAGAGGGC